ACTTGTCATTACTGGTGACAAGGCTGTGCAGATTTTATTTCGCAAAGCAGAGAGACAATATTGAATATCTAGGAAAAGGCTATTACTACTTAGATGCCATTTGTCTCCACTCTGACAGCTCGTGACTTTGATGTTGGCTTTCCCTATATTATCAGTCACATACTGAGGCTTGCTTTGAGTTATTCCTTTCAGTGAACTGCTGATAAGCACATTTCTCAAGTGAAAACTGAAACCAGCCATCTAATTGTGAATGGGGACAGAAAGCTGGCCTGATGCACAGAACCCATGGAAAGTAAGAAGGTGGAGATTCCCTAAAGGTTGCATACACTTAGTAAAACCTATTCCACTGGTAATGAGATACTTTCCAGATGTTTCACTATTCCACTTGGGAGATAGGTCGTATCATCTAACATGCTCTTCAGCTTTGGAGCTTTAATACTTTGTGAAAGGATCACGTCAGCAACTGCAGGTTGGGGAAATACTAACTTCTGACGTTGAAAATGAAGTGCCTGTCAGATATTACACTGGATTTCCCCATTAGCTAACCTGTTTCCATTCAACTGATTGGATCCAAAAATGAATATTCAGCTCGTATCTAGGTGTTATAATTTTGCAGGGAACAAAGTGGCTGAAACAGCACTATAGATACACTATACAGTCTCTTGTACGCTAATAGTCATTGCGTATGAAATAAAATTATATTGCTGCAACAGGTGAAAACTAGATTTTTACATTAGTTTATGATGTAAAAATAGTCTCCTAAGGAAAAATTATGCTCAGCATGTTGATCATAACATTATAACAAAAAGGGACAGAAGTAAACTAGTCACCCTCTCCACCCAGCTCTGCCACTGGCTCAGTAAATCTTGCCTTACCTGATTGTGGACTTAACTCCATTTTCCTGAAAGTTTCCTGAATGTTCTCTGGTGAAGAGATCTTCAGAAATGAATGAGGAAAGAATTGAGAAAAGAAATTCCTCCTCCTCTCCATCTTAAATGTGAGATTCGTTGTAGATTTCCCATTCAGGATGCATCCTTTCAACAAATACCCTGTCAAGTCCCTTTGAACCTTTTACCTTTCAATAAGATCACTTCTCAATGTTCTAAACTTCAGTGGATTTCGGCCCAACGTTCTCATAAAACAAATGCCTGATCCCAGAAATCAGCCTAGTAAACCTTCTCTGAACTACTCCCAACACAAGAAACCGTGCTAGAAAACACTAGCTTCTGGAGAATGACCAAATAAATCAGCCTCAGATGTTAACACTTCATTAGCATTTAAATAATTGTAACAAAGTAGTCAGGAGAAAAATGTTTATCACAGAGGCTGTGCGCAATCTACTTTAAAGAATAAACAATGTTGATTTAGACAAAAGAGAAACAAGGGCTGCCTGTATAGCTGAGGTCCAAAGTGTCTCAATGCCAGGTTATAGTCCAATAGGTTTATTTGAAATCACAAGCTTTCAGAGCGTTGCTCCTTCAGGTGAAGTGAAGCGCACAGGCACAGAATTTATACACCGAGAGATCAAAAGATCATACAAATGGTGTGAGTGGAATGTCTACAGGCTGAATAACAAGCCTCTACAGGTGATCAAAAGTGTCAGACGATGTGAGTAAAGTGTCAACCGCTAAATAGCAAGTGAAGGGATGGCCTGTGATCCAGTTAATTGAGGCAGAGAGATAATTACAAAAAATTAGAAATTAGGTGGCGCTGGAGACAAACCAAATGGCTAGACTAACATAATAAGTATAAGAGTTGCATGCTGAGGGTCTAACCAAAGTAACAAGTATTCCAAATCTGCACAAACTAATTAAGGTTGAGAGATCATAACAAGGTATCAAGGTGATGGTATCAAAACAGTATAGTGAGAAAGATTTTACACATACAAAACAGAATCTGCATTTATCACCCATTTCTGGTTTTCTGGTGCAACTTCCGGTTACAGTCAGCCAGTTTTCCTTACCTCCACTGGATACTTAGACTGTAGGAACAGGAGTAGGCCATTCAGCCCATTGAACATGCCCTGCCATCCAGTATGATCAAGGCTGATCGAACAGTTCAGTGCCTTTTACTCGCTTCAACCCCATAAATCTGTCTGTGATTGATAATCAGAAATCTGTTAATCTCTATCTTAAATATACTCAAAACCTAACTTTTGTCATCCCTCTATAAATTGGGAATTTTAAAAATTCACAAGCCTCTGAGTAAAAATAATTACTCATCATCTTGGACCCAAATGGCATTCTCCTTATTTTTAAGCTGTGGGCCCTGACCACAGCCCAACTGTGCTGTGCTCCAGAACTAGCCACACCTGTAGCCAAGTGGGTCCAGTAAAATGACAACATTGGCATCTACCCAACAATGTAGAGAATTGCCCAAGTATGTCATGTCCAAAAAAAGTAAGATAAATCCAATCCAGCCAATTACCACTTCATCAGTTTGATTTGTGCCTTGTACATGGTGGGCAGTCTTTATTCTATAATGAGTTACACATTGCAGATGTGCTTTTGTAGGTACAGTATTTTTTAATAGCTGGTCCACTTAAGAATCCCCAAGAATGTAATGAACACTGTCCATTTGCATGAATGAGTGCAGCTCCAACAGCACATGAGATGCATGACACCATCTGGGACAATGCAGCCCATCCATCACCTTTAAATGTTCATTCCTTCCACCAATGATGCACAGTAGCAACATTGTGTACTATCTACAGGATGGTAGCAACTCATGAAGACCCCTTTGACAGCACCTTCCAGACTCTCAACCACTTCGAACTAGACGGACAAGAACAGCAGATAGGTGGGAACACCACCATCTGCAAGTTCCCCTCCAAACCACTCTGTCTGTGTGGAGTTTGCACATTCTCGCCATGTCTGTGTGGGTTTCCTCCGGGTGCTCCGGTTTCCTCCCACAGTCCAAAGATGTGCAGGCTAGGTGGATTGGCCATGCTAAATTGCCCATAGTGTTCAGGGATATGTAGGTTAGGTGGGTTATAGGGGGATGGGTCTGGGTGGGATGCTTTGAGGGTCAGTGTGGACTTGTTGGGCCGAAGGGCCTGTTTCCACATTGTAGGGTTTCTATGAACTATGAACCATCCTGACTAGAAAATATGTCACCATTTCTTCAACGTTGCTGTGTCAAACTCCTGGA